TGTCGACAACGCAAAGTGGTGACGTGGCAGTGTTTGTGAGAGTTGTGTGGTTATGTGGTGTGTTATGCAAGAGCATGTAACATCGAGCACCCACACAAGCTAAACACTGCACGTGCAACAGGTTGGAGGGAAATCACGCGAACATTCCAGAACACAAGAGAGGTGAATGTGAATTTCGGTGTCGTGAAGAAGGGAGGTCAATGATGACTCAGCAGACAGGACTTGCCTGTCAACATTCGAACCCCCGATCTTCGGTTAGCGTGGATAATACAAGACCGACACCTTAACCAACTTGGCCACAGACCCCTTTTGGCGTTTCGCATAAGGTAGCTTTTATCAATTTGCCATCGAACATTGTTCATTGTTTTGCATGATGAGCGTTTCGTGCGAGTTGAGATTGAGCGCTCAGAGGGTGCACGAGTGGATGAGTGAATGTGAACGGGCAGAATGCGCCAATAACCAAACAGCCAAACGTGTCTCGAGGCGAGACTTGAGTTGCGGCCGAACCACCAGGGCTACTTGGGCTCGCTGGGGTGCTTTGTGGCCGCTCCTCGTCGTTGCCGGTGGTGGTGACAGCAGTGCTGCTGCTACTGTTGTGGCTGGGGGAAGTGTCCCGCGTGTGCTTGCGTTCGCGAGTGTGCTTGTGCTGTTGTTGCATGTTCATGGTGGTGGTGCTGTTGTTGGAGACTTGTGTGTGCGTGTGTGTGTTGTGTGTGCTGCGGTGTGCTGTGTGTTGTGCGGGAGACTGTCTTGGCAAGAGGAAGTTGTGTGTGTTTACTTGAGTTGTGAAGCAAACAAGGATGTAGGTGTTGCAAGTTCATGGTGGTGGTGCTGTTGTTGGAGACTTGTGTGTGTGTGTGCTGTGTGCTGTGTGTGCTGTGTGTGCTGTGTGTTGTGTGGGAGATTGTCTTGGGAAGAGGAAGTTGTGTGTGTTTACTTGAGTTGTGAAGCAAACAAGGATGTAGGATGAATGAACACTCCAACAGAAAGAAACAGAGCAGAAGACAAGAATTGTCGACAACGCAAAGTGGTGACGTGGCAGTGTTTGTTGAGAGTTGTGTGGTTATGTGGTGTGTTATGCAAGAGCATGTAACATCGAGCAACCACACAAGCTAAACACTGCACGTGCAACAGGTTGGAGGGAAATCACGCGAACATTCCAGAACACAAGAGAGGTGAATGTGAATTTCGGTGTCGTGAAGAAGGGAGGTCAATGATGACTCAGCAGACAGGACTTGCCTGTCAACATTCGAACCCCCGATCTTCGGTTAGCGTGGATAATACAAGACCGACACCTTAACCAACTTGGCCACAGACCCCTTTTGGCGTTTCGCATAAGGTAGCTTTTATCAATTTGCCATCGAACATTGTTCATTGTTTTGCATGATGAGCGTTTCGTGCGAGTTGAGATTGAGCGCTCAGAGGGTGCACGAGTGGATGAGTGAATGTGAACGGGCAGAATGCGCCAATAACCAAACAGCCAAACGTGTCTCGAGGCGAGACTTGAGTTGCGGCCGAACCACCAGGGCTACTTGGGCTCGCTGGGGTGCTTTGTGGCCGCTCCTCGTCGTTGCCGGTGGTGGTGACAGCAGTGCTGCTGCTACTGTTGTGGCTGGGGGAAGTGTCCCGCGTGTGCTTGCGTTCGCGAGTGTGCTTGTGCTGTTGTTGCATGTTCATGGTGGTGGTGCTGTTGTTGGAGACTTGTGTGTGCGTGTGTGTGTTGTGTGTGCTGCGATGTGCTGTGTGTTGTGCGGGAGACAGTCTTGTCAAGAGGAAGTTGTGTGTGTTTTCTTGAATGTGAAGAAAACAAGTTGTAGGTGTTGCACGTTCATGGTGAGGATCTGTTGTTGTAGACTTGTGTGGTTTGTGCTGTGTGCTGATTGAGCTGTGCATGCTGTGACTTGTGTCGCAGACTGTTTTTTAAAAACTAAGGTGTGACTGTGTACTTAGTTCCGGAGCAAAAGAGGCTGGAGAATTATGTTTTCTTCTCCAGAAAAGATTCTATCGAACCTCGAATTGTCGCGGACCCACATTTTGAGTGGCGGGGCTTGTTTCACGTGGTATTTTTATGGTGTGTTTGCTTGAGGTAGGGAGATGTAGTTAGTGCCGAGTTAGCATTCACCGCGC